TGTGGTGGAACCTTTAATGTTTTGTATGTAGTAGGATACAGTTCCAGTTTGACTCAATTGGTTTGCTTTTCCCCACACATCAGATGACTGAAAGACTAGAATTAGACCATTAGGAGAGGCTGAATGTCAAGGCAGATTTCTAAGGTGGGCCCCTGGTGTACAAGCATCATCTCCCAATACCAGCAGACACTAACCTAGGTGCTTGTCATGTAGAGATTTTGCAGGTTAATGAAGGCCCCAAACAGGTTAATGAAGGACCTTAAAACAGGAAGACTGCCAATGCTGTCCTGATTATCTCACTGGTCCCAGAGAACTGGAAGCAGCCAGCAGGGCTCCAGCAGAGCTGGAAGACAGCATCAGCGCTGGGAGGCATCTGTGGGGACACCATATCAAGGAACCGAAAGCAGCCTCCAGGAGCAAAGAAAGACCCTCACTACCTAGAAGGAAACTGGAGGCTGCAGTCCCATACCTACAAGGAAACAGATTCTGTCCATACTCAGGGAGTTTGGGAGAGGCCTGGGGCCCAGATAAAAACCATGGACTTGGCCAGCATCCTGATCTCATTAGGTCCAGGCTAGCCTCAAACTCTCTATATAGCCTAGGATGACCTTACATTCTTGATCCTCTATGATGGCCTGGTTTCTTTCAATCTCTTTTGCCCTTAGTGAAAATGAGAGGCTTTGGTTAAATGTACCTTAAGGGCCACACACCAGCTCAACATTTGGAGTGGTTCGTATATTCTATGAATTCTCCACCACCCTGGACCTTCACAGTTTCTAAGCTCTGACCTCAATTTCAACCTTCCCCATCACTTACAATTTTCTAACATCTTCAATTTAAATTTACCCACTTTCCATCCGAATGCTCTCCCCTCTTCCCATGCTGACATCTCCTAAGAACAAGTTTGCAAATTGTCTTTGCTTTTTCCTTGGGGAGCTGTCACCTTGAAGATACAGTTCTGAGGACAGATCAAGCCAGCAGCTCCTATGGAGGAAACCATGAGGAACATTTGCCCCCTTTCCTCTGGTTGTGAGCAAACCCAGGGCATTTAGCTTTGTGAGCAGACTTAAGATCAGTGGTTGAAAGTTCTTTTCAGGGCTGGTTTGAGATAGTTCATTCTGGTATCCACATGGTAGGAAAGAACCTATTACAAGTTGTCTATTGATTGCCACACTGGTGACATGGTACACACATACATGTTAACAAGTCTCTCTCTCTCTCTCTCTCTCTCTCTCTCTCTGTCACACACACACACACAAATAAAATGAATGTAATTTTTTTTTATAGATAGGGTCTCCCTGTAGCCCCAGCTGACTTGGAACTTGCTATGTAGACCAGGCTAGCCTGGAACCACAGAGATCTGCCTGCCTCTGCCTCCTGAATTCTGGGATTAAAAGTGTGCACCACCACAACCAGCTTATAAACACTTTTTGTTAAAGAAAACAAAAGTTCTTTTCAGCCTAGTCACTACTGCTACAGCAGAGTCATCTTGAAGAAGTACCGATTCAGTTTCCATGGAAAACAGCTCAGCAATGAACAAGAACATGTGACAAAGCTCAAGAGTCCTTCAGGTGAGCCTTTCAGAATGACTGAGGAATGAGACCAACTCAGAGCAGTTCAAATACCTCACTAGAAAGTCAGCAAATGAAAATATTAGAAATAGGGCAGGGGGTGGTAAACACACTTTAGTCTCAGCACTCTCAAGGCAGCGGTAGGTGGATCACTGTGGTTCCAGGCCAGCATGATCAACATAGTGAATTCCAGGCCAGCCCAGGGCTACACAGTAGCTCTTCCTCAGTCTCTCTATGTGCATATTTCTTCAGCTGAGGTGGTACATGCTTTTAATCTTAGCACTTGGAAGGAAGAGGTAGGTAGATCTCTGTGAGACAGAGGCCAGCTTGGTCTACATAGCAAGTTCTAGGCCAGCTGGGGCTATAAGGAGACCCTCTCTCAAAACAAAACAAAGCAAACAACTATATCAGCTGTCCATCCATCCATCCATCCATCCATCCATCCATGTATCAATCATCTATCTATGTAAATAGTCTAGAGCTAGGTATTGTGGTATGGAACTATAGTCCCAGCACTTGGGAGGCTGAGGAAGGAAGATCAGAACTTTGAAGCTAGCTGGGCTACATATATAGGTAGACCTGCTAACAAAACAAATGGCTAACAGTGTCTGAACTCCACAATTGGGACCAGTGCCCTAGAGACTATTAGAAATGGAAGAGCAATAACTCTCAAGAAATTGGAAATCATCTAGGAAATGGTGTGGGATAGAAAAAAATGCAGCAGTAAACCAAGAAAGAGGAAGCTGTAGAATCCAGCAAAGAGACAGCTGAGCATCAGGGCAAGGTGACAGTCACAGAACATTGAAAGGTAAAGTTCAAGGCCTGTGCACAAAAGAAACTCACAGCATGCCACCATCATCTGCAGAGTAGTAGCACAGGCTTATTCTATCAGTGTTCTGGCAAGCAGATGACACCCTGGAAAGAAAGCAGCAACCCAGAGCCAGTATTGAAGGGGTGCCACCACCTAGGCCAAGAGGGTAAGAAGGGAAAGTCAGCTGGGCGTGGTGGCGTACACCTTTAATACCAGCACTCAGGAGGCAGAGGCAGGCGGATCTCTGTGTGATTGAGGCCAGCCTGGTCTACAGAGTTCTATGCCTGCTGGGGCCACAGGGATATCCTGTCTCAAAAAGATTTAAAAAAAGGAGCTAGAGAGAACTAAGATTATGTGGAGTAGACCACTCTGCTCAGAGGAGACTTGTGGCTGAGGAAGACTGGTTTGAAGGAACTATAGGGACAGGGCCAAGCTCTAAGCTCCTTTCCCTGTAATGCCTTGTTGGCCAAACTTGAAAGAACTTGGGCTGGGAAACTTGTTGATAGAATTCAGTTTTCTTGGGCAGAAAAACAGATGAAGGGAGCAGGGATTTCAGGGGCAAATGGAAGATGCCTGGATGCCAAGCTCAGACACTGATTAGTGCCTCATGTGAAATTTATGAAAGCACTGGAGGTTGATGATACAGCATTAGGCAGAACATGTACTGCACATGCTCAAGGTCCTGAGTTGGCACCCCAGTACCAAAGCCAAAAAAAATCATATTGGGCAGATGTATGAAAGGAGCAGTAGACAGGTACGTCTCGGCCATGACAGAAAGTCAAAAGTTGGTAACTCAACAAATAGCATTAACAGTATTTGGAAACCAGGAAATACCAAAAGCAACACCTCAACAAGAAAAACCACAGGGAACTGAGGACACAATGAGTTTACAGTGATATGAACTGAGCATGGTGGCACACACTTGTAGTCCCAGTATTGGCACTCAGGAGGCAGAGGCAGGAGGAACAGTTCAAGGTCATCCTTGGTTACACAGAGTTGAGGCCAGCCTGAACTGTATGAAACCACCTCAAAATAAGTTATTTCCCTTTTGTGAAACAGGGTCTCCATGTAGCCCCAGCTGGCCTGGAATTTGCCATGTAGACCAGGCTGTCTGGCCTCAATCCAGAGATCCACCTGCTTCTGCCTCCTGAGTGCTGGGATCAAATACATATGTCACCATGTTCAGAAGTTATTTCTTAAAAATGAGATGCATCTTCAATAAAAACATTAATTTTGAACCAGTCACCAAGGCTCATGCCTGTGCTTTGGAGGCTGGGGAAGGAAAATTAATTCTAGGCTAACTTGGGCTACATAATGAGACCCTATCTCAAAAAAACTAAAAGAAAACAATAACAAAAAAAGAATAGGTGTGATGGTACATAGCTAGAACCCTAGTTCTTGGGAGTGGAGACAGGAGGCTTAGAAGTTCAAGGCTAATTTTTGCTATGTAGGGATTTGAGGCCAGCCTGGGCTACTGAAGACCTGAGTTTGGTTTTTGGCAGTACTGTGGACGGTGTTGAGCCTCATGTTCGGCAAACACTTTGCCACTGGGCTACATAGCCTTTTTTCTTCATTTTAAAATCCTGAAGCTAAGACAAGGTCTGGTTAACTAAGCTGGTCTGGAACTCATTCTGTAATCAAGGTAAGCTTGAACTTGAATCCCTTTGCTTCAGCCCCCCATGTAGCTGGGTGTGGGAGACAGACTTGAGCCTAGGGTAATAGTGCAACTGTCAGGGTCACGTGGTTTCCAGGAATCCAGGCTCTGTAATCTGAAACCCAGTATGCTAATGAGGCATCCTACCCGCTATTCTGTGATAGGATGTTAAGTCTGTTATGCTAATAAGGTATCCTACTTGCTGTGCTGTGATAGGACACTAAACCTGTTATGCTAATAAGGTATCCTATTTGCTGTGCTGTGATTGGACCACTACCCCTATATAAGCTTGTGCCTTCCTACAATAAATCAGACCTGCGTCACTGAACCTGGTCTCCTGTGTCTGAATGCGGCTGTACTGGCACAGTCTCCTCACCAGCCCTGGGGTCCAGGATGGGCAGAAGCATGACGACAGGAGGCAGTGCAGGGCAAGCAAAAGAGCTGCCTCAGCACCAGGTGAGCAGAAGAGCAGCCTCCACACCGTGAGAACAGAGGAACGGCTGCTGCGCTGCTGCTGGCAGTGACCACAGCTAGGATAATAGATCTGAGTCACAGGACCAGCTTTATCTCATCTTTCAAACGAAGAAGCCCAGGATGAAAGACCAGACCTCCTGCTGTATTAAGCAAGATTGAGTCAGGTGAAATCACTCACTTTTGGACTGTCTTATACAATTCAAATAGTTAACTGATGTTTGTCCTCTCTCCAGACACCAGTGTACTTCTAAACTTCTTTGTTAACTTGGTAAAAAATTTTATTTTCAAATGTCAAAGACTAAAAGACACAGATACTATGCTGGGCGTGGTGGTGCAAGCCTTTGATCCCAGCACTCAGGAGGCAGAGGCAATCTCTGTGAGTTCAAAGCCACCCTGGTCTACATAGTGAGTTCCAGGACAGCTGGGGCTACAGAGAGACCCTGTCTCCAAAAGACCTAAAAAAAAAAAAAAAAAGACACAGACACACATGTTAAACTGAATATTTAATCCATTAGCAGGAAAAGGAGTGTAACAGAATTGGAATTTTTGAATTAGACACTGACATGGACATTACAGTTTTCAAAGAAGTTTCCCCTCGTTTCTTCTTTTCCATCTTCCTCAGAGCAATAAATACCTGTTCAAAGGGCAAACTCCACTGTTTGACAGTAATTGTATTTGTCATATTTCACATCAATTGTACTGTTTCACAGTAAGATGTACTCCACTAGAAGAGCCTATAGCAAGAGCAAACAGCAGCTAAATTCATGTGAAACAATGCTAAAGGCCCAAGGATTTTAAGTATGGCATGTTTCCTGATACAAACCTTCCATGTATTCATATTAACAATGTGGCAATAGCTACTTTAATGAAAAAGGGACTTGGGAATGAGGTCATTAAATAACTACATACATTTTAAATATAAATACCATATATTTCCTGATTACTTATCAGGTAAATTAGCTAAACTGATCTAGAATTCTGGTCTCAGAAAAAAAGGTCAGAGACAAAGAAGGTGATTCATAAATCAGGTTCATTGCAAAATAACTGAGAGCCCTTGAGAGAATCACATTAGTCTTTCTTTTTATCAGGGACTTCTGTTGGTTCTTTTGTGAGTAATCCATTTGCATCTGTACCCTAAAATGAAAAAAAAAAAAATTCAAGAATTATTATAACAAATAAGCTACTCATTTAAGAGAAGGTCTTTTAAACTGGGCATGGTGGTGCATGGCTTTAATCCCAGCACTGGGAGGCAGAGGTAGGTGGATCTTTGTGAATTCAAGGCCAGTGTGGTCTACATAGTGGGGCTACAGGGAGACCCTGTCTTAAAAAAAAAAAAAAAAAAAAAAAAAAAAAACCAAAACCAAAAAAAACCCCCAAAACCAAAAAACAGAAAACAAATCTCAGAATGAACTAATTCTGTTTGCATAAATGTGCAGGTTGAATAAATTTGCACAGCTGAACAGTCAAGTTGAATGAAATAAGCACCAAAACTAAAGATCATGAAGTTGTCTAAAATATTCCCTTTTCAAAAAACCTTCAGTTTGGGGCTAGGGATGTAGCTTAGGGACAGTGTTTGCCTAGTGGATTTTAAACCTAGTTTAAAATCTTACGGTCAGCCAGGCATGGTGGCACAAGCCTTTAATCCCAGCACTAGGGAGGCAGAGGCAGGCAGATCTCTGTGAGACTGAGGCCAACCTGGTCTACATAGTAAGTTCTAGGTCTGTTGGTCAAGAAAGCTGGAGAGATGGCTCAGTAGTTACAAGTACTGGCTGCTCTTTCAGAGAACCAGGGTTCAGTTCCCAGCATCGGCACGGTAGCTAACTGTAATTCCAGTTCCAGGGGATATGATGCCCCCTTCTGGTCTCCGAAGGCATTGCATGACATAGGTGCATGCAGTCAAAACACTCATATGTATAAAAATGAATAAATAAATATTTAAAATCTCATGAGCAAATGCTAATTATTAAAATCAAGGGACTGGAAACACAGTTCAGGGGTTAAGAGCACTGGCTGCTCTTGCAGAGAACATGGGTTTGGTTCCCAGCACCCACATGGTAGCTAACAACCATTTATAACTCCAGTTCTATGAGATCTAATACCCTCTTCTGGTCTCCACAGGTACTACATACACATAGTACACTTACATACATGCAGGTAAAACACAAAAAATCAAGCAAATAAATAAAATCAAGACATAGTCCCAAACCCTTACGCCTGCCTTTCTTCAGGCTCATGGATGTTCTTACCTTGCAGTCTACTTTGCTTTCATCTTTATCACTGGATTCTTGTGTGGTCTTTTTAGGCCACATACGACTGACAATAGGGGACACAAAAGGGTATATGTAAGGCTCCAGGAATTTTTTGAAGATCCACAGCAGAACTGGAATGACGATACAAGGAATGCACACCATTGTCCCAGGCTTGAGCTCTGAAACCATTAATACGGGTGAGGAGAAAAATTAGTTCACTCTAGATTAGTGACTGAAAGACTACAATAGATATGAAAGAAAATACTATTTCTACAGTGAAGATTTACTATTTATCAACCAAAATGTTTCTATTTCTAAGATAAATGAATAGGTGAATGGACATGAATAGTGAGATGTCAGCATCCAAACTTTTCCAGTTCCTCCATCAAAAATTTAATGATATGCTTAGTGTGGTGGCATATGCTTTTAATCCCAGCACTTACTCAGGAGGCAGAGGTGGATGGATCTCTGTGAGAGCTACAGGTCTACATAGCAAGTACCAAGCCAGCTAGGGCTACATGGAGACCCTATCTCAAAATGCCCCCACCTCCCAAAAAAATTGATGACAAAAGCTAACATTCTGGCTGGAGAGATGGCTCAGTGGATAAAGGCATCAGTCACCAAGCCTAAGGACCTGAGTTTAATCCCTGGGACTCATATGGTGGAAGGAGAACCGACTCCTGCAGGTTGTCCTCTACCTACCACATGCATGCCACCACATGCACAACCGTACACACAAAATTAGTTTAAATTTTTTTTTTGAAAAGACACTGACATGTACAAAGTAGTAGGCAGTCTACATATACCAACGCATTTATTTCTCAAACTCAGGGAGAGGGCCATTGAGTTGGCTCAGTGGGTAAAGGTGTCTGATGCCTAGCCTGAATTCAATACCCCAGACCCACAAAATAGGAAAGAAACAAGTCTTGCAAGTCATCCTCTGATCTCCATATAGGCACAGTGGTCACACACACACACACACACAAGGCTTGATGCTCTATAAAGAAAAACATTGGCTTATATTCCAGTTAAGTGTGGGGTGCACTTAGTATGAATTAAGTCCCAAGTCTCAATCTTCAGGGACTGACAGTATCAATTAGCTAACTGAACAACGTTAAAAGTAAATTCTGTAATACGAAATTTAAAATTCATGAAGATGCCACTTACCACTTTGGAAGACTTCTAATCTACAATCAGCTAGACTTTCCTAGGTAAAAACTCTTCTCTTTTTTTCAGTGCTGGGGATGGAATCCAGGGTGCATGAGAGGTAACACTCTACCCTGATCTATATCCCAGACCTGTTTTCTCTTTTGTAAGACAGGGTCCTGGGATTGCAGCTCCTTTTCCTGAGCCTCCCAAGTGCTAATTACACATGTGCCACTAGGCCTGCCTGGCAACCTTGCTTTTCTTTTTAAGAAATAATTGATAAGCCAGGTGTGGTGGTGCACACCTTTAATCCCAGCACTGGGGAGGCCGAGGCAGACGATCTCTGCAAGACCTGTTTTCTCTTTTGTAAGACAGGGTCCTGGGATTGCAGCTCCTTTTCCTGAGCCTCCCAAGTGCTAATTACACATGTGCCACTAGGCCTGCCTGGCAACCTTGCTTTTCTTTTTAAGAAATAATTGATAAGCCAGGTGTGGTGGTGCACACCTTTAATCCCAGCACTGGGGAGGCCGAGGCAGACGATCTCTGCATGTTCAAGGCCAGCCTGGTCTACATGGTGAGTTCCAGGCCAGCTGGGGCTAGAGGGAAACTAAAAAAAAAAAAAAAAAAAAAAAAAAAAAAAAAAAGGAAAAAAAAAAAAAGAAATTGATGGTGTGCTGAGCAATAAAAATTTATTCAGTATTATGTAAGTTGTCCATTTCTAAAGGTTAATACTTTTAATAGTATTCTTTTTTTTTTTTTGAGACCTGATCTCCACGTAGCCCTAGCTGGCCTGGAGCACACTATGTGACCCAGGCTTGCCTTGATATCACAAATATCTGCCTGCTTCTGCTTGGGTCTCAAAATCTCTTAAATTTACAAAAACTTTTAGCCTGTTAAGACTAGGACTATATATATTAGGATGGAAGACCTTAAAAAAACAGGAAGCTGGGGACTGCAGATGTAGGTAACTAGTTAGGAGCACAGAGGACTCAAGTTTGGTTCCTAGCATTCACACTGAGTAGCTCACAACCTCCTGTAACTCCAGCGCCTCCACAGGAATTGCATGCACATGGCATGCATATATACATGAAGCTAAAACACTCATACACATAAAAAAATTAAAAATACATCTTTTACATAGACGTTCTTTTTCAACATTTTCTAAGAATTATTATTCTTAGCCACGGATACTTAGAGCCCAATAGGTGATTGCCTTTAGGTTTTGCACCCTTTTAAAAGTCCCACAACAGGGCAGGGGAGACAGCTCTGTGGTTAAGTTGCACTTAATGCTCTTCTGGAGAATTGGGGTTCGGTTCTCAGCACTCAAATGGCTAACAACCCTCCCTGAAGTTTAAGGGGGGTGGGGAGGATTAGGAGATGTAGCTCAATGGTAGAGCACTCAAAAACGCAGGAACCTGTCCATAGTTCACAAAGGTACTATAGCAAGCTAAAACCAGAATTCTCAGTACCGATTTCCAACCTCAAGCGTCTCACCTTAACTTCTTCCCCTTTTTCCAAGCCTTCTAAACCAAGTAATCCCTTTCAAACAACTAATAATGGTACCAGCACGGTAAACATCGGTGTAGCAATCCTTAATTGTCATTTTTATTTTTTGTACTTGGTGTTTTAAACTAAATTCGTACACGTTATGCTGTAAATAAACTCCCAAGAACCAGTGCCACTAATAAGGAAGATACAGAATTGTTTCCTAATCCAACTAATGGAGTTTTATTTCTGACTGTGGAAAATGGGACGGAAAAATCTAGAAGCTGGCATTGCAGACTACCACTTTACGTCACATGATCCTTTCGCTCGGTACAGGACAAAAGGACAGAGGACCGGCCGGGATCCACGAGGGACTGCCCAGGTAGGGACGCGGAGCGACCGACCGAAGAAGCCGGAAGTGGTCACGGAAAATGGGAGAAATGAGCGAACAGCTGGAGTCCACGGAGGGAGGGCCACCCACCGAGCCGGTCCAAGGACTTGAAGCAAACCGTCTAGGAGGCCAGACCCGTGGGGGGGCGGGCAAGGACGGGGGACCCCGAGACCCCGAGTGTCGCCGACTGGTCCCGCCCGCTGCGAACCCGAGCCGGAGCCGCAACCACTCACCACCACCGCGACGCCCACAGCAATGCCGGCGCTTCCGGAGGGCTGGGCCGCAAGCAGCCAATGGCAGGCCCAAGGGCCGACAAAGACGCACACGTCAGCCAAGGCACGCAAAGGACTACGATGACGCAAACAGGACTCGCCCGACTTCTGGAGCTACTCCGCTGGGCTGGGGAGGGAAATCTGCGGTAATGCCTGCCCTGGCCTGACCACCCGACAAGGCCCTCGCTCCTGATAGGGCGTTTTCAGGTTCGGATAGGCCATTTTCTAACTAAGCGAGGTTATTTTTGAGCTTTAAGATGGTTTCACTGTGTAGCTCAGGCTGGCCTTGAACTCACAATTCTGGTCAGTCTCCATAGATGCTGGGATTACAGTTGTGGATCAGAACGACTTGCAAATTTAGGTATTTTCTATTCAAGGCAGGCAAATTTAGTTTACTAAACATCTGGGTTTGGGTTGTTTCCAGCACTCAAACACAGCTTCTTACCATTTCACCCACTAGGAAGCTATACCAGACGGGTCTGTTGGTGAGGTTGTGAATTTGGAACCATTATCCCCTACTAATTCAACCATGCAGCCTCCCTGAAAATGCCTGACACAAGTATTAAGGTTATCCTGACTTGGACTTACACCCACGAGAAAGTAAACATACAAGTTCGCAAGAAGCACCATTTCTAATAGCAAAACATGACCCGATGTTCAACTGATAAGCCCCCCCCCAACTACCATTGATACACAAACTGAAATGCGCTGTGAAAGCCAGTGACAAAAGGCATTTTAATCAAATGTTCCAAGCAGGCAAAAGAAGTTTAGGGATGCAGTGATGACAGGTTTTCTTTATGAGGTAGTCAGTGGATGCATTCCTTAAAGGTTTAGTGCAAACCCTGGCTCCTTGGGAGGCTTTTACAGGATGCAGTTAACTTGGGAGACAGACTTGGTCTACATAGTGAGCTCAAGAGGATACAGGGAGACCCCGACTAAGACCCAAAAACAAAGTCAATCTGGTAACTAAGACTTTATTTCATGAATGTTGTGTCATGTGTTAAGGTGGTGTCCCATGGAAGCCTGAAGAGGGCATCAGATCCCACGAAGCTGGCGTAACAACTCCAGTCCTTTTAAGAGTTATGTGCTTAGATGCTGAGTCATCTCTCCAGCCTTTAAAAAAAAGTGAGGGACATACACATGCACACAATTTAAAATAGATTTTAAGTGCTGGAGAGGTTTAGAGCTTAAGAGCATTGGTTTAGCTCCCAGAACCCACATGGGAGATGCACAACTGTTAACTACAGCTCAAGGTACACTTCTAGCCACCTTCTTGGCATGTACACAAAGCATACCCTACACATAAAATAATTTACACCTCAGGTGGGCATGGTGACACTTAACCCAGGCACTCTGAATCTGAAGTCAGCCTGGTCTACATATCAAGTCCCAGGCCAGGTGGGGCGACAGGAAGATCCTGTTCCAACAAAACCACTTATTAGGATCTGTAGTGATGAAATCCTTCTCCTTCCCCAAAAGGATACTGCAGTTATACCACATACCTAAAAGGCCCTGGAATGAACATTATAATAGCTGTGGTCTTCTACACAACAGATCATTAAATGCAAATTCAAGAAAGCCTAACTCAAAATGTTCTTGACAATTTCATTCCTGTAAATATGCAACTTCTGGCCTAAACACATTTGCATGCACCCCAACAGGCTCATTTTAACTTTTATAACTGCCAATAGCCTGTTTTTGTTACCTCCGTATCCTCTTCAGTGTGTTTATGACTGAAAATATAAATTTAAAAAAGCTGTTTTGGGGGCTGGATAGATTTTTGCATAAGACCTGGGTTTAAATTCCAGGACCCACATGATGGCTAACAATCCTTTGTAACTCTCCAGTTCTAGGGGATCTGACACCCTCGTGTCCCCTGGCACTGCACAATATGGGTACACTTGCACACATGCAGGCATCACACTCATACTCAGCCATCATTTGATCTCATGAGAACACTAAAATGCTTGCAAAGAAAGATGACCAACAGCTATTTACTTTTATCTGGGTTTATTTTATGCTCAATTTATTCCCGTGCCATAAGTTTTTGTTTCTTCAGTTTCTTCTGGGATATCTGAGGAAAAAAATGAAAAGATCAGTGTTCTAGAAGGAAACTATTGAATCTTGGGAGGATTCAAATTTATGCAGAAGGAAACCAAGAGCCCAACTGGTAGAGACTACAGAACAAAAAAGGTTAAATTCCTTTGTTCTAAGGGAGACGTGTTCAACCAAAGAGGACATTAGATCTTGGGGCATGTCTGAAATGGATATAGAAATCTAGGCAGACCACAGATAAAACCGGTGGGCCTTATGCCACAGGATGAAAAACAAAGTAGGCAAAAAGGGTTGCTCAGAACAGTTTTCTTTCATGGCTATTCCAAAGGTGTCCTAAGATAGTCATCACAGCAACCACCAACCTTTCTAGTAGTATACACAAAATCTGTTAAGGAAATTACCTTTTTCTTTTGTGCAACTTCCTCTTCAGGCTTAGGAACAATTTGTTCCTTTTCAGTGAGGATCATTTCGATATGGCAGGGGGAGCTCATGTACGGGTTAATGCGACCATGAGCTCTGTAAGTTCTGCGGCGCATTTTGGGCGATTTGTTCACCTGGATATGTTCAATGACCAGAGAGTCTACATCTAAACCCTGGAAAAGGGGGAAAATCATTTTGTGTACATCTTTATTGTATTTGAGACAAGGTTTCATGTATCCCAGGCTGGCCCATTAACTATCCTCCTACCCCTACTTACCAAGTGCTGCCACACCTGGTTTCAGGTAGCATCTTAGAAACACTATTCCAAGAAATCACCCAAGTCCCCATCTTAATGAAATCATTTGTGAAAAGCAACCCTAATTTCAGGTATTAATAGTGCTATGTTGCCTGTAAGTGGTCTCCCTAAAGGGCCATAGGTGGGTACAGTCACAGCCCAGTCATCAACCTTCTTGCAATGTATGCAACTGCTTTTCCTTTTTTTTGGTCTTTTTGAGACAAGGTCTCCTTGTAGCCCCACCTGTCCTGGAACTCATATAGACCAGGCTGGCCTCAAACTCAGATTCACCTGCCTCTGCCTCCCAAGTGCTGGGATTAAAGGTGTGTGCCACCATGCTTGGCCCCTAGTTTTTTTTTTTTTTTTTTTTTTAAGGTGTAAAAGTGGAAGAAGGGGCAAAATCTTGCTTGGAAAAAAAACTTCAAAAGCAAACGGGGGGGGGGCTACAGGGTGACCCTGACTCAAAAAACAAAACAAACATAAAAAAACAACCCCACAACAAAGGACACACAAAACCCCATTAATCCTAAGGCAGCCATTTTCACAATCACATTAGCAAAAACACCCGTCACAGAAAGTAAAAGAAAATTTCTCTTGGGGTGCTGGGGACCGAACCCAGAAATGGGCCTGGATGCGTACTTACAAGTTTCATATCCCCATACCAGGAAAACATTTCTTTTGCAGCACTTGTAAGGTAAGGGAAACCACACAATTATGAAGCCCACCATGCTTATGTACACCTTTATGAAAAGTTTATTGTACTAGACACACCAGTTTCTACGAGACAATTCAGAGTAAGCTATTTAAGAGCACACATCTGAAAAAAAGCATCAAAGGTGCATATAAAAGATACTAATGGCTTTGGTACCTTCAGTTCAGCATTACTTTCTGCATTTTTAAGCATGTGCAGCAAAAATTCAGCACTCTTTTTGGGCCACCGACCTTGTGTCCAACCCCACTGTTTGGCCTGAAAGAAAGTGGAAATGAAGCAGTCATTTTCTTTGCTAAAAAAATTGAGCCAGGAAGAACTTTGTCAAGGCTGCTCAGAACACGATTTATTTCATGGTTAATCCAAAGGTGTCCTAAGAATGTCATCACAGCAACCGAAACTCTAATAAAAGGGAGATCTTAGTCCCCATGGTCCCACCCAATTACCTCTTATAATTTTTGAATAGCACTAAAGAATTCTCACCTGGGCACACCTACCAACTCCACCGTTATAGCGCCGGAATGGCACACACTGCTTCTTTAAAGTGACATCTTTCAGATACTTGGTGGCTTTTCGGATATGCATACCCTTGATGGCCTGGGCAGTTTCACGTGTGTTCTGATATGAGAAAGTATTTAATAGTGTCAAAGTTTTGGTTTCTAAAGATAGGGGATATGATACTTAGAAATCCTCATTTTCACTAATTCCACCATAAAATATCTCAATTTAGGGTCCTTGTAACTCCAGTTCCAGGGGATATGATGGCTCTCTTCTGACCTCTGCAGGCACTGCATGCAAGTGTTTGGGGGATCTTAAATTCACACACCCATACAGATAAATAAATAAATCTATATTCCATTATGTTGCAATGTCAACTGTTTTACTCAGGACCACAAACATGAAATCAAAGCACTTATACCCCAATGAACAATTTATACAGCTGCCCCAGTGCTGGGATTAAAGGTGTGTATCACCACGCCCGGCAAATGATCAACTTATAAAAGGTTGCTGCTCAGAATGTGTTAATTTTCATGGTAAATCCAAAGGTGTCCTAAGAAGGGCATCACTGCAGCTACCTTTAAAAGAAATGCAGGAGCAAGTACAACTCTATAATTACCATTATTCCTTACCTTAAAGTGAACACGAAGGTTGGAACCTCTTGATTTGCATGCTAGAAAATTTAAAAGAAAAACAGAGAGGTTGATTTTTTTTGTTGCACTGCGCCCTTGTCAGTAAAGCAACAGTTCTAGGTTCTTTCCACTCACATTTTGTAGGGTTTTCTGGGTCAAGAGAGTAACGAACCATTTTCACAGGTCACCTGGAAAGGAACAAATCCTAAATTATCAGCCAGTAACTAATGCCATTCAAACGCGTTATTAATGCTACCAACAGCTGCTCAGAGAATCATCGTTTTCACGGTGAATCCAAAGGTGTCCCAAGAAATGGCGGCATAGCAGCCGTCTTTTCCTTTATTTTCTCTTAATCTGCCCATCAGCACCATGCAGCTTACATGAAGCTCAAGGCACACGTGCCCTCCCCTTTGGGACTCAGCCTCGTTACCACCCAACCCCGGCTCCTCGGTAACCGCAATGACGCAGAAGCACGACCGAGCCCTCTACAAACCTCTATGGATCCCTTTCGCCCCAACGTCCCTGTCGTGCAGACGCCTGGCCTATCAGCCACGTTAAGGGCCGCCAGGTACCGCAGCACTAAGCCGAGGAGTATCGGCTCTACGGCGCCGCTACAAACACGCGCGATCTCGGCCGACTCTCTTGCAGAACGCCGAGCCCGGGTCCGCCAGACTTCATGCTGCTCTGCATCCCAGAGGACTGCTCTTGCCCGGGCTCCAGGGAGGGTGCGCCACCACATCCTCCCGCACAGAACGCCGCCGCCTGACGTCGGGACTCGCAGCCTTAGGGCCCAGCTCTCAGGGGCAGCGACGCCGCTGACCCTCAAGGCCAGGATGGCAGCGATGGCGGAGGATTGAAAACGGAGAGCGCAACAAGAAGAAACACTCACCTTGAGCGGCTTACAGGAAGAGGAAGCGCGAGGGATCCTGGGAGAACTCATGAAAAGTCGACTTCTCGCGAGGCTTCCTGCGGCGGAAACGCGATCGGAAGGGGGGGGGGTTGGGGGACGTAAAAAGGGAATGTGGAATACTTTTAGAATGTCCGAAAATCAGAAATAAAGTTATGGGCTTTAAATACCAGTAAATTCAAAGTGGGCTTGAAGCATAGGACACATTATTGGAAATGAATGTGAAATTTAGTAGATCTGATTTTGTGATCATGAAGCCGCCGAAGTTGGCTTGTAAATGGTCAATCAAGATAAAAGGCAGACAAAAAAAAAAAAAGACATTACCGGGCGTGACAGCGCAGGTCTCTAGTCCCAACACTTGAAAGACAGAAGCAGGCGGATCTCCAGGAGTTCAAGGCCATCCTGCTCTACATAATGAGTTCCAGAACAGCTGGGGCTACAGGGAGATCCTGTCTCAAAAAGATTTTATCTATCTATCTATCTATCTATCTATCTATCTATCTATCTATCTATCTATCTATCTATCTATCTATCTATCTATCTATCTATCTATCTATCTATCTATCTATCTAATCTATCATCTATGTATCTATATCTATCTATCTATCTATCTATCTATCTATCTATCTATCTATCTATCTATCTATCTGTCTATCTATCTAATCTATCATCTATCAATCTATCTAATCTAAAATAAAGGGCAGATCTCTGAGTTCGGGCCAACCTGGTCTACATAGTTCCAGGCAAGGCTAGCTAGGGCTATAAAGTGAGACTGTCTTAAAAAGGCCTAAGGGTGTGGGGGTGGGTGGGGCATTGTGTCATACACCTGTCAGGTGGAGGCAGGAGGTTGAAGAATTCAGAATTGGAGACCAGCCGGCAGCTACAGGGGACCTTGTCTTAGCAAAAAGATGGGAGGCCAGGCATGGCGGTGTTTGCCTGCCGGTATCTCAGACCTTTGGAGAAACGGTAGGATCTAAGTTTGGGCTAAATATTAGCAAGTTCCAGGATTCTTGGGCTGATCTGAGGCGGGGAGGGGGAGGGAGGGAGCGGGGAGAGGGGGGAGGCAGAGACTTAACACTGACTAGCCTGTGGCTTTACATGTCAGCATTCCAGGCTGTTCAAATCCCAAGCGACTGACTCAAAACAATGCCTTAGGCTCACTTGGCTCCTCGACTTACTTCCAAAGACCCTCATCTGTGCTTACTCTAGTGCCAAATGCTAGGAGGCGGGGAGGGGGAGGGAGGGAGCGGGGAGAGGGGGGAGGCAGAGACTTAACACTGACTAGCCTGTGGCTTTACATGTCAGCATTCCAGGCTGTTCAAATCCCAAGCGACTGACTCAAAACAATGCCTTAGGCTCACTTGGCTCCTCGACTTACTTCCAAAGACCCTCATCTGTGCTTACTCTAGTGCCAAATGCTAGGTTCTGTGTTTTTTGCCTAATACTCTTTCTCCACAGGCTTTAACTGTAGGCTGGGACCTCCCAAATAAATCTCTCGAGCTAGATAGACCCAGATTTCAAAGTATTTTCTGGATATCTTTCCTGGAGGCTAGAAGTGTGGTTTAGTGGTAGAGTACTGGCCTAGAATGTACCAAGACCCAGGTTCCATCCCCAGCACTGCAACAAAACAAACAAAAATAGTCTTGGATGACTGTTTTAACAGCTCTAGGCAGGAGAGGACTATGATAAAAAAAAATTTACACTTTAAACAGTTTACTCTGACTGCTCTGTGGAGAGCAAACTTAGGGGTAGCAGTGGGTGCATGGAGAGGGAGGGATTCAGAGGGTTTTGCAAAAGCAGAGGGTAGCTTAAGCCAGGCTGGTCCAAGTGGTGAAAAGGACTCCAAGCATAGGACTCTTCTGGAGGTGGGGCCAATGGAATTTACTAATGGATCAAATATAGGGTGGTATAATAAAGACAATGATAAAGGTGGGTTCCAGGTGGCCCCCAAACCACAGGTGGTAAAATTTGCTGAGCCTAGAGGAAACAGGAATAATAAATAGTCTGTGTGGCAATATTAAAATTTGTTTAGCCAGGGGTAGTGGCACATGCCTTTAATCTCAGCACTCAGGAGGGTAAGACAGGAGGACTGTAAGTTATAGGCCAGCCTGGGGTTTATAAAGGAGACCTCTCTGAAAGTTTTGTTTTCAATTTTTAGCAAATGAAAATAATAATAGAATGAATCTGCAGGTAATCATATTAAACTCACACAGTAAGCTGCATGTTGCCCTTTTCTTTCCTGTCTCCCGGATTTACCTTCTGATTCTTCTGATCTGCCTACCCTGACTTTTTTTTCAGAAGTATTTAAAATCAGGTAGGGCATGGTGGTGCACACCTCTCAGGAGGCAGAGGCAGGCAGATCTCTGTGAGTTCAAGCCTGGTCTACATAGTGAGTTCTAGGCCAACTGTGGCTACAAGGGACACAGACTCATCACAAATAGATAAATAAACACATAGATAAATAAATACACAAATCTCAGATCTTTTCTCTTTTTTGGGGGGGCGGGGATTAAAGGTGTTTGCTACCAGGCACTGCAAATCTCAGGTATTTTCATGTAAGCATTTCAATTTGTTTCTCTAATAGGTTTTTATCTCCTCTATCTGCTCTCCTTCTTTCTAGTCTTTTACTGCAACCATAATATTCTCATAGTTCAGACAACAATGCTTTAACATAGCAACATAGCTTATGATCAGCTTTCTCTCTCTCTCTCTCTTTTTTTTTTTTTTTTTTGTGGTCTTTGTGAGACAGGGGCTCCCTGTAGCCCCAGCTTACCTGGAATTCTCGATGTAGACCAGGCTGGCCTCGAACTCACAGAAATCTGCCTGCCTCTACCTCCCAAGTGCTGGGATTAAAGGTGTGTGCTATGAATGAAAAGGCATGCTTTTTCATTCTCAATACAATTTGTTCAAATCAGAATCAAGGCAAGATCCAAATACTGAATTTGAGGGCTACCTCTCTCTATAATCTTTAACTGTTTCTCTTTCTCATGTTCTCTGTGGCCCCCATCCCTTGCCTATTTGTGGAAGATTGGATCATTTGCCATATAAAATCTCCATACTTCAGGATTTGGCAAGTCGCAATTTCATTGTATTGTTGGACCCCCAGCCTGGGGTACCCAACGTTCATGGGAGGTCGCACCCCAATAACTCAGTCCTCAAATCAGGAGATGCAACAAGCATGAGGATTTATTACATCTGCAGACGGGCCTCCAGAAAGAGAAGCCCCAAATCAGCTTACAAGCTTCTTTTTAAAGACAAAAAGTGGCGGCTATGTGCCAAGCAGAGGTAGGGGGGGATTTCTGGGATGATTTCCAGCTTGGGCAAAGGAGCATGAAAAAGGTCAGCTCAGCTTGTTCTTAGCATTCAGAATTATTTTTCATTTTTACTTCCTTGTACAGTTTTTCTCAGGCCTGGGGGATTTTAGTTTAAATCCATTATTCTGGGGGCTTTGGATCCATCAAAGGGACCTATAATGCTGCTCAGGAACCTAGTGCTTCCCCTGGCCTCACTTCCAGAGTTCAGGATCTGTCCTGCCTCCAACCTTACGGCTGGCTGCTACCTACTTCCGTACTGAGAACTCTCTCAAGCTCCTGCTACCATGCCTACTCTGCATCTGCCTTCCTATTACCCGTCCTCTCTCCTAATGCAGATTCTCTACGTATGCAGGAGAGCATCTCAACTCTCACCTGGCCAAGGTCAAAGTTCTATGACCAGCTTTCTGGTCATACTCTCTATTTTGCCTCACTAAGGTAGTTAATCAGGGGCTTTTATTAAACCATCCTTTAAACCATCTATTAAACCATCCTTTAAACCATCCTTGTGTGGATTTACGTTCTTTTTGTCTTTAATCTCTGGCGGAATTTAGACTTGGAATCTTTAAGAACTCCAGAGTTATCTGCATAAAAGCAACATTCTTCTCCTAGGGCTGCACAGAGTCCTCCTTCCTTGAGGAAAAGTAGATCTAGCCCTCTTCTATTCTGTAGTACGACTTCTGAGAGAGAGGTTAGGGACTTTTCTAGAAGGGTGATTGACTGTTCTATTGCCCTAATATCTTCATCTACAGACTTCTGTAAATCTGCATAATATTGTGGTCCTTGTATTAAGGCTGCTGTTCCAGTTCCCACCCCTGCCACCACTCCTGCTCCTAGGAGTATTGCTAGGGTGAGAGACACAAGCTCTCTTTTATATCTGCTTGGGTGTTGTTCAAAAAACTGTTCTAAAGAATCTGTGGGGTGATAGAATACTCGGGGTAGAAGTTTAACCATAACACAGTAGTCTTGAGAGGTTTTAAGGACCATACTAGCTACACATGGAGTTAACCCAGAATTACATGTCCACCAAGTCCCTTGTTGAGGTAAGGGATAGTAGTTTCCTTCCTCTGAGGGCACAGGTATAGTGGAGTTGCAAAGATGGGTGTGAG